ACTATTATTGATGGTTGTTTTTCCTACTTTCATCATATTATTGATGAATATAGTCTTCCTCTCTCATCAAATTATTGATGAAAAAGGAGTTCCTACTTTCATCAAAATTATTGATGAATATGGAATATGTAAATATATGTCTGTACATTATATTATGCTAGGATAACAGAGCTCATGTAAATTGTAAGGACTCAAGTCATTAAGCGTGAAAATGGTACCAGAGCCTCTCAATTTTCGTGAGGGAAGAGGAGTTACTCAATCTAAGCTACAAAAATGCCGACAACAGGAGGACGATAAGAAAATTACAGCATATGAATTTGGAGTATGTGATAGATAAGCGAATAGCCCTTGTGTTCCAGGTGGTAAGACGCAGGAGGCGCAGTAAGTCCGTTGGCAAGCTCGGGTGCTTAGTCATATGAAAAATTCTGAAGAAAATCTTATCTACAACCTGACACCTTTATTAGAGACAAAACAAAGATTGACAACTTGTCAGCCACGCAGAGAAGGATCACATGTGAATTATCGGTGTCCATCCATGTAAATTATTAGTCTTTTAAATTATTAGGTCTTTTCCTACTTTTAGAAATACAAATCTCGCAATGGTCCTGTCTTGCTAAGATTCGATCTTATCTCCTAGTTCACAATTTTCAAATCCACGTTCAAATCTGAAATCTATAAAAGGACTTCATCAATGTAAAGAGGGCATCGATCGGCCGATATCTCTCTCTGAATATCAATTGAAAAATTCAGAGAAAAATTATTCTACTCTATCTCTTACCTATCTTCTTCTTATGAACGAATTTCTGAGAAAGCTCAGAAAATCAAACCATTTCAAATGTTCTACCGACGAGGAAGAAAGCTCAAATGAACATAGAAGGGGAGAAAATCTCAATATCTCAAATACTGTCAATCAAGAATATGAGATTGCCAGGATCGAAGATCAGCTTCAAAATTAGACTATTCCAAAGGTAGATCCTAAAACTATCTACCAAATCTCAACCTTCAATTTTACTCAAAGATCATGCATCAAATTCTCAGAGAAAAACATCCCAATTCATAGTAATAGGGAATCTCTCAATCTTTTTTCAAAATCCCTTATACTCCAACATCGTGAAAAATTTAACTATCTTCACGTCGGTCTTGTTCAAGTCGCTGTAAAACCATTGTTCAGACTTAGATTAGATATCTCAGTTCTTATCTCCTTACGAGATAAGAGACATGAAGATTTCTCAAATTCTTTATTGGAAATGGTTCAATCCAATCTGGAGAATGGACCAGTCTATTTCAATTGTTATCCAAATTTTACTTTGTCACTCCACGACCCGCACATATTATCAGCTCTCATGCTGGACTGACAATCAAAAAATTTGAACATCAAGGCTGAAACTCATTCTTCAGTCGTCATATTCAGAGTTTATTATAAACTCATGAATACAAATATTTCTCCAAGAGCATTAAGATCCTCTCCAAAAGGATCAACCATGCTCATAGAGGCAAATATTGGAAAGTCTTCGGTGACTGTTCCAAAAATTCTTTCTTATGATCAAATAACCAGAAATACTCTCTGGAAAATAGAAGATGCTAATCTTCCGAAGAGAAAGGAATCTCAAAATCCAGTATAAATCATCGAACATGATGATGGAAGCGTTGAAATAAAATTCAGCGAAGAGCCTTTGTCAGAATCAAAAGTAAGAGAATTCTTGAGTTCTAGACCAAGTACGTCGGGAGTTTCAAGATCAATGTATGACCCCTTACAAGTAAAAGAGGTCAGTTATGATAATAAAAAAAAAAGGCATCAATCCACTATGAAGATGGCTCAAGATCTCCAACCCAAACGGATATGGATACTCAATCCGTCTACGAAAGTTAGCTAAATATCATTACAGCTGATTTCCAGATAGACAAAGAATTTTTTTTATATCAGTTGTCAACTCTTCAAAGAGAAAAGCTTTCTTCCAAACTTACAAAGAAGCTGAGTGAAGTGAATTAAGAGCTTAGTGGTATTCTCATATGGAAACCGTTGAGGAAGACTACCAGAAGAGGCGAGGTATATTCGAATGGTTTGAAGAAAATATTTTGCAAATATGCACCTTGACTCAAAGAAGCTGGAAGACTACCAGAATAGGCGAGGTATATTCAAAACATCCTCCGTTAGAAGAAGTCGAATTTGACAATTACTACGGAGAAAAGATCAAAGCTAGTCCTTTCAAAACTATCCCAGAAGGACTAGAAAAGGGTAATCCGACCCTAAAGGATATCAAGAATATCCAGCATCAAAATAATTATTCAAACATCCACGATCTCCACCCAGCTTGAGAGTATCGAGGGAAAAATCTCGAAGAATTCGGGTACTCTGCAAGAACAAGCAAGCAGCTCTGTACCAAAGGTCGATGAGTCAATCCCAATACTCAGACCCGCAAACCTCGACGTATTTACAAAGAGGATCTCAAAAGAAGAGGCTACAATGGCCAAAATAGAAGAAAAGTTGGATAGAATTCTAAATCCTAGAATAATACATAAGGATTCATCTGTCAATGTCGTTAAAATGACGACGAAATCCAGGACTTCGAAGATGAGATCGTAAATGAGGCAGAAGAACCTCTCTACAATCGGATCGAAAGGATCTCAAGAAGAAGTCAAAATAATACCAGCAATCAGAAAAACTGGTATCCTCAACCCTCTTTTCCGGATATTCAATTCGAAGAAAAGACGCTACAAACTCAAGCTCACTACGATGGCCTGGCAATCTATGAATGGAACATCGATGGATTGTCTGACTATCTTGTGATGAACGTTGTCAATGAAATGATGATGGTCACAGGCGCAAATAAATTACAGGGCCATAAATCCGACCATCAAATAGCTCAAGTCTTAGTGACCGGATTTACCGAGCAACTCAAATACTTGTGGGACAAATATCTTGACAAATCAACCCGTCAACAGATATTAAACCACTATGTCATTAGGCCAACAACTCAAATCATCAAAGAAGAAGGTCCATCAACTAGGACCGAAGTACAACATGAAAAGGTAGAAGATGTTGTCAACACCCTCATCTATACCCTCATAGAATTCTTCGTTGGCGACCTCCTGAAATACTAGGAGAGATCTGCCGAAATACTCATGAACCTGAAATGCCCTACCTTAGGAGATTTCAGGTGGTACAAGGACATGTATTTCAGCAAAGGTTTTATTAGAATAGATAGTTCGTTGGAATTCTGGAAAGAGAATTTTGTCAATGGACTACCAAAACACTTCTCAAGAAGGATCAAAGAAAGTCTGAAGACAAAGTATAATGGAACAATTCCACGGCGACTTTGTCATACGGATCGATAGCATCCTTCATCATAAAAGAAGGATTCAGACTTTGTAATGAGTCAAAGATCCAAAACAAGCTCAATTCTTCGATATCAAACAGAAAAGAGCTTGGAAGATTTTGCAATCAATATGGATGCAAGGGGATAGAGGCCCCCTCAACCTCCAGAAGGAAGAAGGTTAGGTCGCATCCAAAGCCTTATAATGCATACAGGCCTAGAGAAAAGTATCGGAATAAGCCTATACAACCTCAAAAGTCAACGTATTCAAAGAGAAAGTACACTCCCACAAAAACTCATAAAGGAAAGAAAAAGCAAACTTGCTTCAAATGTCGAGAAGAAGGACACTATGCTAACAAGTGTCCAATCAGAGGAAAGATCAACGAGTTGGATATAGATCAAGAGCTGAAAAATCAGCTACTACGACTAACTCTAACCGACTCAGAACAATCAAGCGAGGGAGAAATCCTCAAACTTTAAGAAGAATCCGATTCATATTCTAGCATAGAATATGAATTAGAATAAGAAGGAAGAAGGACGTGCGAAGGATGCAAAAACGTCCTTACAAACGATTAAGAAATTCTACTTAAGGTGGTAGAAAAAATTCAAGATCCAGAAATTCAATAGAAAATTGCTCAACGACTTAGAGATGCTATGACAATCTCTAAACCACTTGAAAGGGGAGAAAGAAATCCCTACAGATTTCAATCAGTTCTTCAAAGGTTTGAAAAATCGAGAGAACTCATTACTCAAGACCTACAAAGAGAAATTAATAATCTCAAACAAGAAGTACAGGTATTAAGATCTGAAACCAGGTCAAAATCCTAAATGCTTTGCCAAGAAATTCTTAACCTTCAGGAAAGGCTGCCCAAACAAAAGGAAACGGCGCAACCAAACCTGGACTAAGATGATTTTCAAAGTTCCTACGTTGGAGCCATCACCACTTCTCAATATCAAAAATGGTACGCTCTCGTTACCTTAAAAATTTATGATTTCAAAATCACACTAAAGGCTCTCATAGATACTGGAGCCGATCAAAATTGCATTCAAGAAGGCCTAATACCTACTAAGTATTTTGAAAAAACTACCGTAGGCCTTAGAGGTGCAAACAACAACAAACTCAAAGTCAATTACAAACTATCAAAAGTCCATGTTTGTAATGACGGAATTTTCTTCGTAAATTCCTTCCTCTTAGTAAAGGACTTAGGACAAGAACTAATCCTAAGTACTCCTTTCATTACTCAATTATACCCTTTTAAAATAACTGAAAAGGGGTTAGAGTCAAGATAAAATTTAATTTCCTTTCTCCTATAAGGATTAATGAAATAAATAACCTTCAAAAGAATACAATTATTCGATCAATAAATATATTAAATTATAAAGAAAAACAAATTTCTTCTCTGAAGAAAGAAATTTCATTCAAGAGAATAGAAGAACAGCTTCAAAGCAAAACCGTCCCGTCTAAAATCAAAACATTACAAGCTCAAATACAAAGGGAATTTGTTCAACGGTCCCTAATGCCTTTTAGAATAGGAAGCAACACATAGTTAATCTTCCTTATGTCAAAACTTTCGAGGAGAAAAATATTCCTACGAAGGCCCGACCTATTCAAATAAATAAAGAATTACTAACATTCTGCAAAGAAAAAATTAATGATCTTTTGCAGAAAGGCCTTATTAGGCCATCAAAGAGCCCCTGGTCATGTGTAGCTTTTTACGTCGACAACCACACAGAGAAAGAGCGTGGAGTTCCACGACTGGTAATAAACTACAAACCCTTAAACAAGGTTTTGGAATGGATTAGATATCCAATTCCAAATAAATCAGATTTAATGCAAAGAATTTCAAATGCAAAAGTATTTTCAAAATTTGATATGAAATCAGGATTTTGGCAAATCTAGATTTTAGAAAAAGACAAGTATAAAACGGCCTTCAACGTCCCTTTCGGACAATACGAGTGGAACGTTATGCCATTTGGGCTAAAAAATGCTCCATCCGAATTTCAAAAAATTATGAATGATATCTTCAATCCTTTTCAAGAGTTTTCCATTGTCTACATTGACGATGTTCTGATTTCTCTCAAAACATCGATCAACATTTTAAACATCTTCAAACATTTTTTTGCCATAGTCAAAAGAAACGGTTTAGTTGTATCTAAACCGAAAATAAAACATTTTCAAACAAAAATCCGCTTTCTTGGATTTGAAATTCGTTTGGGTTTAATTAAACCCATCCAAAGGTCCAACGAGTTTGCCTCAAATTTTCCGGACCAAATCACGGATAAAACCCAACTACAAAGATTTTTGGGATGTCTTTGGGATGTCTCATTTATGTATCTTATTTCCTCAAAAAATATGAGACCCATTTGCAAGTCACTCTTTGAAAGGCTGAAAAAGAATCTCAATAATTAACAAAAACTTTGTTATCAAAATAGATTCTAGGGCATCTAAATTTGTTTTAGAAAAATATGTCAAGAATCTTGTATCTAAACAAATTTTTGCTAGATCGCAAGCCATTTGGCTGACTACCTCTCAAGAGAGTTCTTAATCTCGAAGAAAAACTCTCCCTAGCCACTCTTCCATCTAGAGATGACCGGAAAGAAAACGATAGAAAAAGGAAAGAAGCCCACTGCTTCTTCAAACACCCATACTCCAATGACATCCAACAGCAATGCGATGGATGTTGGTTTCACATTGGTGACCAGATGTAAAGCAAAGCTTTCTAAAAAAACAGGCGGAGGTTGTCAATCTGACGAGGCCTTCTGCCTCTTCAACACGGCCTTCTGCCGTTACTCCATCGAGACCTACTGTCTCTTCCACTTCAAAGGGACCTTCTGTCCCCTCGACCTACTCGGATGCAGTTGTTCCAGTTCGATTTTCTCCAGTTCCTGAAATCAGGACCTATTTTCAAAAATCTGTGTCTATACCAGAAGCTCTAGTAGAACCAGAATACGACGACCCAAAAATCAGCGAGGTCGTCAAGAAAGCCTATTCATTGGGATTCTTTTATATCCCGGAAGATCTTCATAAAACCAGAAGGTTTTATGAATTCATTCTAGTCGACACAAAGTCCGTTGAAATTACTCATATTCTGAGTCGCGATGATCCTTCGAAAATCGCGTATTCAAAATTAAAAATTTTCAAAGTCATGAACCCGACGTATTGGAATCAAGATCCATACACGGAGATAAAATTTTCAAAGTCATCAAGATTCAAAACTTTTTTGTTCCTCATCAATAATAGTGGAAAACTCAAAATAATAAAGATAAAAAAACAAAATAAAGATAAAAAGTTAAAGAAGCAAAGTGAGAATATGTTAGAAGACATATTTCACTCAATTTTTTTTTGTTTTTTGTTTTTTTTTTACAAATAGTTTAACGACTATTCAGTCCTTTGCAGATGATGAAGTTTATAGAGGCGGTTGAGAATCCAAAAATAGATCATTGAGATCATAAATCGTGTCTTCCTCTTCTTCCTCTACAATAGAAGGAGAAGATGTCGAACCGATAGATGCGACTTCTTGAAGAAGCTTTTGAAAATCCGCTTTCGAATTTTTCCGAGCTAATGCAACAGTAGTTTCGACTTTGAATTAAGAAATTCGGAGGTCCTCTTCTTGGATAAATCCTGAAGGTGGCCATTCTCTGATAACTAGACCTTTACCGCTTTGAGATCCGTGTGGGTATAGGTGTATTTATCCAACCATTTGATTCTTATAATTTTGAAGACCTGTTTTACTTGGTCTTCTGTTTCTTTTATTTGAAAATTGCAGGTTAAAATCCAAGGAATTTGAAAATATACTCAAAAGTGTTGGAAAAGAGGATAGTGAAAGTGATAGGAATAGATGAAAGCTGCAGTGCTTTATTATTGTCTACTGACTCGATGCTTAGAGAGTTGCACAATTCCAGTATTTATAGTTTATACACTGGACCAGAAATAGTAAATCATCGAAATCTAGAAAAATTCAAATCTAGTGACAATCTCCTAAAATCTCCTCAAATCTTGGTAGTTTGAATATTTGAATCATATCTCAACTACTTTAAATCATATATTTATCTTGAATACTTTGAATCATATCTCAACACTCCCCCTTGATTCAAAGTTGTAGATATCAAATACAAAACTTTTCTTTTGACAAGGCCTTCGTAAGTACGTCTGCCTTAACCCGTACAATGTCTGTCTCAGCCTGTATACCTTTGTTTCTTTGTCTTCCTCTATGAATCCCTCTGGTGGTGTTACATAAACCTCTTCTTGTAAATCTCCATAAAACTTTTCGTTTGGTAGGTCAACCATATCCCATGTTCCATCTTTCTTAACGGACTGCATCTCTACTACCATGGCTTTCTTCCCGTCTTCTTTTTCAGTTGCTTCTTCATAATTCATAAGGTCTGAAATAGTAAGAGCAAACTGACATGATGCATATATGTCAGCTAAAGATTTATACTTCCTTGGAGGTGTATCATCCGAAAGTTCTTTAAGAGAAGATTTGCTATTCAGTGATGCTGAAGATGATGAATTTGACACACTTTGTGTTGCAGTGGATGCACTGGGAGATGCACTGGAGTTGACCCTTGTCTCTTCATTTGGGGAAACTTCAACTGTAATCTTTTGCTGCTCCTATTCTTTACTCCAATCCCAACTCACGTTTTCATTAAATATTACATCCCTTCTAACTAAAATCTTTTCACTAACGGGGTTGTATAGTTTATATGCCTTTGATTGAGTACAATAGCCAATGAAAATACATTTTTTCAGATTTTTCATCAAGCTTTTGACGAGTTTGAGGATGTTTCAAAGCATAAGCAACACAACCAAAGATTCGTAAATGACTTACTGATGGTTTCCTTCCATGCCATGCTTCATAAGGAGTTCGATTCATAACCGCCTTTGTTGGTGAAATGTTTAATAGATAAACAAATGTTGCTACGGCTTCTGCCCAAAATTGGTTTGGAAGTTTCCTTGCTTGTAACATACTTCTTGCCATCTCCACAATAGTTCAATTTTTTCGTTCAGCGATTCCATTTTGTTCTGGAGTGTAGGGAGCTGTTAATTCCCTTTGGATGCCCTCTTCTTCACAAAACAGATTGAACTCTTTAGATATGAATTCGCCACCTCTGTCTGTGCGAAGAACTTTAATGTGACAGCCACTTTGGTTCTCTACCATAGCTTTAAAAATCTGGAACTTCTGAAACGTTTCTGACTTATGTTGTAGGAAGTAAACCCAGCTCATGCGACTATAATCATCAATGAATAGTAAAAAGTACCACCCAAGGACTTCGTTTGCATTGGCCCACATAAGTCAGCATGAATTAGTTCTAGATAATGTGAAGCTCTTTTAGATTTTCCAAGCGGAAATGACTTCCTAGTCTGCTTGCCATAAATGCATCCTTCACATAAATTAGTTGAGTCAATTCTCGGTAATCCGAAAACCATACCTTTATCCCTGAGTATTTTCAGGCCGTTCATATGAAGATGTCCATATCTGAGATGCCATAATGTTGAATCATCTTTCATGCTAGCAGTAAGAGCAAAATCCTCCATGTTAGAAACATCAAGTGGAAACATCTTATTTGAAGTCATGGCAATTTGAACTTTATGACCTGATTTCTTATGTGTAATGACACATGTGTTATCATCAAATAGAACTGAGTGTCCTCTGGTCATCAATTGTCCAACACTCAATAAATTGTACCCTAAATCAGGTACAAATTGAACATTATCTAATTGTTTTATCTTACCGTTGTTGACTCTGGCAAATCGGATGTCGACGAAAAATTGGCCGAAGGTTTCTTCGAAGGAAAAATTAGCGGAAGTAAAAGGAGAGAGAGAGAGATATTCGCTGATAATGCTGAAGACTCGATATATTTTATTTTACATCAGTTGAATGGTTTAAATAACAAATCTAATTACAAAAATAGAAAAACCAAATATACAAAAATAGAATAAATGGACGAAGACTTCGCCCACTTTGCCAAAACAATGGCCCCTAGATTCACGCTCCTCCATTCGCGTGAACTCATATGTTTTTACAAACCTAACTAAATAAGGCAAGGCTTTTATTTAACAATCTCCTCCTAAAAGTTGTACCTTATTATTTGAACTCCGATCTTTGAGCGTAGTTTTTCAAATTTCACCCGCGCCAGGGACTTGGTGAAAATGTCTCCAAGTTGTTCCTCTGTTCGGATGAAATCAATCTTGATGAGCCCTCGATCTGCACATTCTCGAATGTAGTGGAATCTGATTTCTATGTGCTTGCTCCGGTCGTGCAAAACTGGATTTTTGATCAGGGAGATCGTAGCTTTGTTGTCTACGTATAGCATTGGTGGATCGCTTTCTCTCCCGATGAGTTCTTCCATTAGTCGTGCAAGCCAGATCCCTTGAGTTGCTGCCATCGAAGCGGCGATGTATTCTGCTTCGCAGGAAGACAAAGCAACTACCTTCTGTTTTGTTGATTGCCAGCAGATCGCGCCGCCTGAGAGAAAGTAGATCATTCCGCTGGTGCTCTTACGATCATCAACGTCACCGGCCATGTCACTATCGCTGTAGTCGACCAGTTTGAGTTTCTCCTTTCCGCTCCCAGCGCAGTATCTTACGCCCCAGCCTCTGGTTCCGGCTACATAGCGCAGGATGCGCTTGACAGCCACTAGATGCTCCTCCCTAGGTGCTTCCATAAACCTGCTCACATATCCAACAGAATAAGCAAGATCAGGACGAGAGTTTACCAGATAGCGCAGACTCCCGACAATGCTGCGGTAATTGGTGGAGTCGACTGTCGTCGTAGTGCCGGCCTTCCTTAGTTGAAGTCGGGCCTCCATTGGCGTCCTGGTAGGATTACTGTCCACAAGCCCAGTTGTGTCCAGTAGCTTCCTCGCGTATGCACTTTGGCAGATGGAGATGTCGGAAGAGTGCTGTTGCACTTCGATGCCGAGGTAGTAGCTGAGCACACCGAGATCGCTCATCTCGAAGTTTTTCGACATCTCCTTCTTGAACCTTCCGAGGACTCCCACGTCGCCTCCAGTGATTATGAGGTCGTCGACGTACACTCCCACGATCAGTC